TGATAAGTTATAATGTCACCAATCATTCCAATATTATCATGGATCTTGCTAACGAGCGCCCCGGGGCGTTAGATAAGGATAAATTATATTGGTTGAAATGATATTAAGTTAGGAATTTATGACAAAATCACGATCGTTCGGTGTAATTAATCTTAATTTTACTCTAATATTTGCACTTTAATTCTATTATCTAACGTCCCGGGGGCGCTCATTAGCTTTTGCCTATTATCATATACAATCCCGGAGGTAGTGGAGTAGTAATTAATCTCACAATAAAGCCAAAAAATAAAATAAAATTATGTACATAACAATTCCAACACAAATTGAACATTCAACCTCATTTTAAATCTCCTTCCATTTGATAATTAGTAACATTTGTCTTCATATATAATTATTAACATTTCATTTCATTTGACTACTATAGAATTTTCATCTCAAATGAGTGTTGCATCGTTGCGGAGGGTATGTGGATGTAATGGATGTTGGGTAAAGGTGGGTAATGGATGTCCAATTCGTCGACAAGGTGGTAGACTAGTTGATTAGGGCATCCATGGTTTCTCTATTGCACCGGTTGTTACAGATCAATTTGGAAGTTGAGAATTGATCTTTCTATAGATGCTAGCCTCTCGTCACCTCTAAAATTCTACCAACTAAACAACTATGATACGAAAAATAAATGAGTTTTACTAAATAAAAAAGGAGTAATTTAGGGCTTGTTTGACATCATTTTTTGTTTTCAGTTCCTTTTTTTAGATAACTAATAAACAAAAACATGAAATAAGAAACAAAAAAAAGGGTTTCCACTTTTTTGTTGTCAGTTTTCAAAATTATTATGATTTTAATAAGTTTAAATAATTTTTGATACATTATGTGACATATATCATATACTTTTATACAACAAGAAAACCAAAAAATAGAAAACCACATTAATGCCAAACGATTATTGCTTTAGAATTAAGCTGTAATAGTGTGCATGTGATCCATTATTATTTATTATTGATCTTAACTGTTGGGTCATTAGGCAAATTGGAAGGATAAAGAAATTAGTAGGGTCATTGAGTATAATTTGTCGACTTTTTTGGGAAATGGTTAAATTTAAATTTCCCTACCATTTTATCATATTAGCTTGAAATACATGAAATACACTAATATTACACTACTATTCATTTTGTTATCTTTTATTTGTCTCATTTGTCTTTTTGTATTGTTTTCCAAGCACACTTTTGAGCACACAAAAATCTTCAAATATAAAACATTTTAGTTAATATTTTGAAACCACCACTTGAGGGAAATTAACAACTATCTACTCCTTTTTATTTTTTTTATTTTTTTTTATTAAACTCATAATATAATCTCTCTTAATATAGTTGTGAAGGTAGCTGTTAACTGTATAAGTAGCTATTAGCTGCCAACAAACTGTGAATTGTGAATATAGATAATTTAAATATGAGTGTTCGGTAAAGTAGCGGCTGACTAGCTGCTACGTATAAAAATAATATTTTATTTTTAAAACTATAGATTAAATTTTCAACATCTACCTATACTTTCAAAAGCTAATATTTTTAACTTTTTGTAAAAGCTACTTCCTCCCCTAAAAGCTACCCTAACCACTACTTTGCCAAACACTAATATTTTTTGTTAGTTAAAAAAAAAAAAATTGTTAAGTGATGGTTTGACCAAGTCAAACATCTAAAAGCTACTCAAAAACTAACGCCGAACACCCTTAAATGATACAAATTAAAAGGAATAATTTCCTATATTTTACTAAGCTACTCTTTCTTTTTTAGTTGTTTAATGACATTTACACAAGGCCTAAGAAATCAAGAACTCAACTATTGGAGTTGTTTATTTTTTTTTTTTTTCCTTTTTTGAAAATATCTATCTCTTGGGGTTACTTCATCTCGATCTCCTTACTTTAATCAACCCCAATTAAATAATTATCATCAACCACTACTTTTTTTTTCTCGCTTTTCTTGGTTAGACAATAAATGTCAATTATGAAAATTTTGTTCTAAGAAATGTTGCCCAAGATTCCCTTTCTAAATGAATGGATCTAAATAGTATGAGCATTAAGTAGTTTCTTTCAATTGTATGGCTCTATATGATCAACTCATCAACTACTATAATAAGCAACAATTGAAAAGTGTACTGTATAAACAATAAATATTGTAGAGTAGAAAATAAAGACAATCTATATTATTATTGTTGAGTATTTTTCCAACTTTTAATGACAAACTTCCAAAACCTTAATCTTCAAATTTTGTTAACTTCTCTATTTTCATTTTATTTTTTAAAAAATACAATCACTTCTCATCATAACTTCTTATATCATCCTCACATTTAAAATTACAAAAATTCTTCTAATAATAATAATAATAATAATAATAATAATAATAATAATAATAATAATAATAATAATAAACAAAACAAAAACCAATGATGTATAGAATTAATATACAAAAAGTGTAAGCTGTTAGTGCCTAGTTTTTGTAGGGGTATTATTAAACTAATTTTTATTGGACCAAAATATTTTTAATGATTATGATAACTTCATATGGGTGAATTTTTCTGATCTGATATGATAACATCAAACAGTCTTCACATTATATGGTAAATAATTTCAGGTGTGTTCATTTTTATCCTTCTTAATTTTAAAAATAAAACAAAGAAAAATTGCAAGAATAATATAGAAGATCTTTAGTTTAAGATATTTATATAAAAAAAATTATAGAATTAATTTTTACAAAAAGTTAATTTCAATCATATATATTAATATGTTAAAATTTCAAACAAATAATCAAAAAATAATAATAAGTAAAATACTATCCAAGATTAGATATTTGATGTATTCATAAACAGATAAACTAACATTTGCTTGGAAAAATTCTCAAAAAAAAAAAAAAAAAAGGAAAAAAACGAATAAAAAAAGAGTAGAAACAATTATTTAGGTTCATTTTTAACCTTAAAATAATTACAATAGGAGGTGGATGGGTATTGTATCATCATTATTTAGGGATTGTTTACTCAGCTTAGTTTCAGTTCAAAATAGACTCTTAGAGGCAAAATTTTTGGACATAAACCCTTTTTTTTTGGAATAAGATTACTAAAACCCTATAATGGTTACCCCATTAATTGTTACCTCCTGTTTCACCTAATCTAGACATAATTACTCATCTGAAAGACAATGGAGCAAGTAATTTAAGACATTGAAAAAGAAGAAGTTGAACAAGTAAGTACAATTTTTTTTGGGTGTTGTTTGAAAAGATAAGAAAAATAAACCTTAACAAGCCCATCTCGTGAGGAGAATTTCTAATATTAAGTAGAATGAAGGGGTTTGTTTTAGAGGTGATTCTACAGTTTTTACAAGTCGTTCATAATAGTAATAATACGTGATCGAATTAATAAATTATGGTGCCACCGTCCAAGGTTGGTGCAAGGCTTTATATAAAGACGGCAGTTGATGAATAGGTAAAAGGAATGAACAGCTAAAATAGGGTTGCCCAACTGGCAACTGCACCCATTTAATTGGAGATTTGTTCTTAAAAATAATAATAATAATAATAATAATAATAATAATAATAATAATAATAATAATAATAATAATAATAAAGAAAAAGAGGATCAAGCATGCACGTATACAACAAAAGCAAGGTTTAATTTTACTTTTGAGATTCTGCCCCTTAAATAGTTAAAAAGCATTGGAATAAATAAATATGCAAAAAGGTATGCCAAAAAATATGCTAGCTTTGTTTTTCAATGAAATACAAGTCTCATCTTTGATATACCCTACAAAAATATTCCAATCTTTTTCCACCACAAATTCAACATCTTATACATTAAAGTATTTTGGTGTTTTTTTTGCAACATTAAACATCAATTTTTCACGAGATATATGTTGATTTATGAAAATCAAAAATTTATGGTGCATGTTAACATCAGTCTTTATGATTACATGGCATTATTATGCAAGAAACTATAATATGTCATTCTTATGGGCTCTTGCTTGTTGCATTTATACGTATAAGAAATCAAAAACTAAACATTATTCAACGTTTATATCGAGCCTATACTGTACGTGTGAGGGCGTGATGGTTATTATGTTGTCAAAAGATACAAGAGTCATAATATAGTAAATTATGCTCCAGTAGTTTTAATTAAAAGAAATTAAAATTGTAAATAATAAAAACATAAAAATGAATTACTTCGATCTGTATGCTATATTATTTCTAAATAGTTGTATATAGAAAATTGTGACTTCGAGGGTATTAACTAATAACTAATTTACAAACTTATGAATATAGTTATGCAAATCGTATTTTCAATTCAAATAACGTAAAAACTGATAAACTGAAAACAAAAAACGATAATTAAAAAAATCACAAAGTGGTGAAGCAGAAGCATGGCGTGCAAACAGTAAAGTTTTTGCGTAACGCATTAGCAGTCGACAGACGATCACTAATTATACAGCATTGACCTTGTTAGTGGGCAAGTGGGTCGACTATTACAAAGTTATAATCTTTATTACAAAGTTTTAATTGACATTTGGAATACGGACATGACTCCTACTCAATGGCGCGTGGTCCCACCTCACCACCCCTCTTCCTTGTTTGTGGTCACTATTCAATACTACTATTACGACTACTTCGCAAATTTCTATACTGATACTACTACTATACTAGGTACGGCCTACAGAGTAGCCGTATTTGTATTTGTAACGAATCAAGCTTTAAGCGAGACCGTCTTATATTTTAATGTATGAGTTTTGAATAACAATACTAAGTATTAAATAGTTTTTCTATGTTTTTTTAAATACATCACTTTGACTTTTGTATATATATATATATATATTATGTTTGACTTAATTTTTTCTCCTCTTTAAAAAAAAAATAAATGTTACTCCGTATTATATAATACGGAGTACTATATCATTTGATTAGTCATAATGTTTAGTTTCATGATATAATTTTGTTACAATTTTTACTCGTATATTTATACATAATGATAGTTATTGGTCAAATTACTGATTGACAAATTTAACATTCAAACTAAAATACTTTAAAAAAAAAAGTTGAAAATCACGATCTTATACTTCGTGGTTGCATGTTAGGTAAGAGTAGTAGAATTGGAATAACAATACTCCCTTTGTTCCATTAAAATTGACCCATTTGATTACTTATTGTATTCATTTAACTTTTTGATTCAAATGGGGCAATTTTAGTGGGACGGATGGAGTAGTTGATTTCAATATACTTTGTAATTTCGTATGAGGGTATTTTTTTCAAAAAAAAAAGGGGGGGCAAAAGGACAAAAGTAGAACAAGAAGGCATTTTTATTTTCCTAAATGCATAAACAAATGGACAAAAATAGAATCATAAATGATTGATTAAAAAAGAAGTGTCTCAAGCTTTCTTATCTTATTCATTCAGTGCCAAACTAGAAGCACTTAATTGTCAAAAAAAAAAAAAAAAAAAAAACTTATTAGTCTAGCACTCTAGCTTAGTTGTGTTTAATTTTGACCAAATCTAGCTCACAAGTCATTCGGCTCGTATCAGGTCGGGTTAATATTAAGATTAATAACACCCCCACCCGATGACCCGAATGACTTATGAATTAGTTGATCATACAAATTTAAACTAATTAAACACATAAAAAATACCGTTAATTAGTAATGAAAGTGGTGGTTATCTCAACTATATCCACCAATCAAATACAGCTTTTTCAGTATATCTCTTCTTAACTCTAACTTATTAAGCTTCTAGATTATCAGGGATGCAGCCACGTCACACCCGCCGCCGATCATTAGAGGTAATTATGTCTTAATATCATCATTATTAACCTCAATTTCATATTATTGGAGGGTAAACTTCCTTTCATTACTTTTTTGAAAAAAATTAAATTTTAAAAAATTCCCAGAAATTTTTTTGATCAAAATTTACAATTGGAAGTAAATGAAACTGTAGAGAAATGGAGAAAGAAGTACTAGTTCAAGTAGTGGTAATGGTAAGATGAGTTGGGCTGAGTTATGTTGTTTGGGTTGCACCTGCCTGCAGCTGTTGTGGCCTAGAGTTGTTCTGCGTAAATGGCTTAACATCTCTTCCAAGGATTCCGATTACAGCGCCGATACCGATGTAGAAGATATTGATGATGATGACGACGACAACGACGATTTGTTTGGTTCTCTTGCTTCTGTTGACGAAGAAGGTATATAATTTTTTATGTTATGTCAAGTTATATGTAGGATCATGGAATTAGAACATTTTATTGAATGATTTGTTATTTTTACTGTATAAATAGTATTTCATTGGTGTCATTAATTTATTGTTGTTTGTTTGAATTGGTAAAGTTTGATTTTTTGATGGTGACAGTTGCTTTGGATTCAGGGTATACTAATTCTGTTTTAGTATTTGATTTTCTATTTTGGGAGTTATAATTTTGGTGATTTTTTTTTTAATTGAGGAAGTAAGTTTGCAATTTTTTGTTTATGGAAGATGTGAGAAAGATTCAAGTTGACAAGGTGATTAAGGACATTAGAGTGCTAAATTTATGCAATTAGTTAATCTACAACAGTGTCGAATTCGGTTTTTTTGGGTCTACAGAAACTTGCTAATAATTATTGGCTCCAAAGACAATGGTAAATTGGAAGAATAGTGCTAGTTTTATGCAAGTAGTTGAATCAACAGTGTCGGTTTCGGTTTTATTCAATGTAAAGAATATATTTAGGAGTTATTTTGTCCAATGAAAGAGACACGAAAATATCCATCATGTTGATTGTAGTGTTGCCATAGTTAATGGTCTTATACCGTGTGTTTGGGAGTTCAGAGTTTTTAATGAGAAATTTCTAGGCAAAATTGTATAAATTTGAGAAATTCTTTGACAATGTTCGGTTGTTAAGAGGAAAACTATGGAAAAATATATCTAGGAAAGTATGAGTCTCATATATGTTATTACGGATATTTTACCTAATTTGTTAATCCATTGTTTATCCTTCAAATGCGTTGGAAAAACTAATCAAAATCTGAACTTTAGAGTACCCAATTGTCCTTTTTCCCATAACCAAATAGCAAACTGCTAAAACTTAATGATAATATATACTTTTCTTTTACTCAAGATTTCATGAACTTGATGCTGCTAATCATTGTATTCTAGAACTAATTGTTCCAGCTCTTCCTGATTGTTACATTTGTTAGACACCCATTTATGAATATTCAAGATGTATTTATCCACCTTTTTAGAGACCGTAGTCTTATATGGTTGACTACTTGATTGTGTGTTTAACAGTAGGTATCAAAATAGATAAATATGACTGGTTCTGATGAGTACAATATATCAGTGTGTGCTGCTAATTAACTTTTCATGAGTATTCTCTTTCCAAAGCTATGTTAAATGTACAAAAGGGTTGGATGAAGCATGCAACGTTGTTAATATACTTAAATATGAGGGTTTTTATTGAAATATGCCTTCCTATGTTTGTCCATGGATAATATCAATGCATTGCATATTTTCCCCTTATATTATAGGTGCTCTCATAAATTTGCTCATTTTAATTTCAGACAACCTACCACGATTGAGAAGGCGAAACTCTGAAACTTTCAGGGCTCAATATATACATACGAAGGATATCAGGTACTTGCTTCATCTTGGATACTGAAAAGTACTGTTGTTTCTTTTTCTGAGCTATGATTATTGAATTCTTTCTTCCTGGATTGTAGAGTATGTGTTGGGACTTGGAATGTCGGTGGAAAATTTCCGCCTGATGATCTTGATATTGAGGATTGGATAAACATCAATGAACCATCTGATATTTACGTGCTAGGGTAAGATCTTTTTGTAGTAATTCTTAAAGTATCTCCCTATATGTTCCCATTCATATATTTTGGGCCTTTTCTAATAATGTGATCATCTTCATTTATTTCTATGAGGCTGTCTTCAAAGCACTTGCATACTCCACCATATGCGTGCCTTGGCATATGCAAAAAAATTCGTTCACAAGTGTTATGTTCTTTTCCTTTGGCTTGCTGTACTATATAATAGCATGATTTTCCACCCGCTTTCTCAGTCATTCTAATATTATTATTGATTTTGATTTTATTTTTAAATATAAAATAGTCTCCAGGAAATTGTACCACTGAATGCTGGTAACATTTTTGGGGCTGAAGATAATCGACCAGCGTTGCAATGGGAAAGTATTATTCGAGATACACTTAGTAGAGTTACAGCTAAGAAGGGCTTTAAAAGCTACAGTGATCCCCCTTCTCCATCAAAGTTCAAGCCGTCAGAAGATATTCCTGATATAGAGGATGAGATATCACTTGGTTCTGATAGCGAAGGGGAGGAGGAAGTGTATCCTGTGGATGAGGAGCTCAATGGATTTTATGAAGTTAGAGACAAACTGGTCAGTGGTGATGGAATGTATAACGACCCTGGAGTTTCAAGAGGTGATGAGATTCCTTATTCAGACGTTTGTGTAGAGAAGGATTTGAAAAGGCAAACAGTACCCTCAAAGAGATTTAAGAGATTACAAAGCTTTCAGTCAGGTCCTCTGAACGCAGGTGATGTATTCGCCATCAATCCAATGACATCGAAATTAACTAAGACATTAAGTGGAACAGAAAGGATTGGTTTAAGCTGGCCTGAGCCTCCCCTAGATTTGTTAGCTCAACGTGTTTTGGAGAGACCGCTTAGTTTTAAGTCTGGAAAATCTTGCAAGGTGTCTAAATCATTTAGGGCATACAATTCTTTTAAGATAAACGGTGACTACAAGATGTTACCAGATGCTTCTACGGTTGCAGCACTTGACCTTGAAACACTTATACGACGGAAAAGAAGACCAGAATATGTGAGGATAGCAAGTAAGCAAATGGTTGGAATTTTCCTCACTATATGGGTTCGTAAAGATTTGCGCAAACATATTCAGAACTTAAAGGTGTCTACCGTTGGTGTTGGTGTTATGGGCTATATTGGTAATAAGGTCTGTCTCTTTCCCTTTTCTTATCCTGTCTTGTTTTTACTTCCTCCTTTTAACCACTCCTGGTTCTGCTTGTTCTTTGTTTAAATGTTAAAACAAGAATTTATTAGTTTGCTTACAGTTTCGACTGGTCCATGAACTATGTTAATAGAATCTTATCAAATTGGATCTCAATTGTTTCTTCCTTAATTTCATGTAACAACGACATAATTTAATATTTAACTTGTCTAGTTTCTCGTTATTTGTATTGATATCAATTACCCATCTTAATAAAGTTATTCATGACTTCCAGATGAGCATCTGTATGAGTTTGGACTTTTAACCTGCCCAATCTGCTTTCCCTTTGAGAATCTAGTAACTCTTTTTGTTCCCCTATTTTTTACAAGTATAAAAATAAGCCTTGGAGCTCTAGTCTGTCTTATTAATTTTGTCTATTGATGGAATTCCTTTTCCTGTATATATATATAGAAGGATCAAACATTCTACTTGCATCTTCTGCCTCATGAATTGTACCTTTTATACCCATGCAATTTATACTTGTATTTTGATTTACAGGGAGCAGTTTCTATCAGCATGTCGATATATCAGACTCTTTTCTGCTTCATATGTACTCACCTGACATCTGGGGAAAAGGAAGCTGACCAACTAAAACGGAATGCTGATGTGAATGAAATACACCGAAGAACATATTTTCGCACAGGTTCAGGTCTTGGAGTTCCTAAAAGCATTTATGATCACGAGTAAGCTCAGTTTATTCACACTTCTTGTTCTCAATTTTCTGCAAGTGAATTTTTTTCATTACCTATAGTTGTATGTTGGTGCACAAATTTGGAGATCTGGGGAGTTGGGGTAAAAGTGCTGCTAAAACTATATTGCTTCATCTGATACGTGGCATTTCTTATGTGTTCGTCTTTACAGAAGAATAATTTGGCTTGGGGATTTGAACTATCGCATCAGTATTTCATATGATGACACACGGAAGCTAATATCTGAAAAAGAATGGTCCAAATTGGTCGAATGTGATCAGGTATGAGCTAAGATAAATTACTCTCTGAAAAGAATCAAATAAAAATTTCTCTCAATCACTAGCAAAGTTTAATCTGTTTGAAACTTCCATATTTTTAAAATCACGTGGAATTTGAACTTAGTCTTCACCTGGCATGATTTGACATAATTGTTTTGATCTTTTCTGGCTCTAGTTTCCAGTGCTTACATCTGCAAGAACATGATTTTATGAAGTCAAGCTTTTTAGTTTTTTGTATTTGCAAATGTTTTTGATCCTGATGAGAATGTCCATGCATTGATGCTGACTTTATAGATTTATTTTGGGCTGGTAGGGTTCTATGTTGTTAGTTTAGATGAACTACTACGAGAGGGGGGGGTGAATAGTATTAGGTTCCAATCGCGGAACTTAAGCGGAAATAAACAATTAAAACGTAAAGGAACTTAAAGCACACAACAAGTTTTACGAGGAAACCGTCCAGTGCCTAACTGGAAGTAAAACCTCGGCCTATTGGGACTTATAAACAAATTCCACTATAATAGGCAACTCTCCTAGTACAACCTATTACATAGACCTTTGCTTTGCAAGTTCCACCACGGACACTTGACTATATGATAGGACACCTCCTACCAGACCTAAGACACCTCCTAGGACCCTTTTCTCCCTTTACCCAGGACACTTCCTAGGTGACCCAAGACACCTCTCAGGTTCCTTTCACTCACTGTGCACTCACAGCTACCACTTGAATTTTAGAGAATTCAAACTCATACACAAGCGTGAATTTAAGAGAATTCACAATCTCACCCCAAAACCAATTACAACACAAAGACACACTCTAACACATAAATGGAAAGCTACACATGAAACCCGAAATCAAAATGATAAAGCTTTAACCTTTGGCAAACTTACTCTTAAGCACTAAGTGGTTTTCACGCTTAAAACTCTCATTTTGCTAAGCTGAAGTACTTCTGTATTTATAGGAGTTTCTCAGCTACACAAACTAGGATTTTCGCAAACAAGATAAATCAAACAGAAATCTGATCTTTTCTTCTTTAAAATCGAAATCAAAACAGATTTAATTTCGCTTTATCTGAAAACCATTTTTATCAAATTCGTTTTAACTAAAAGATAGAATTTTAAGAAAAAGATAAAACCAAGTTAAATCAGATTTTATAAGATAAAATCAATTAAGTACTTTTTCATAAAACCAAAGTTATCTTTTACGAATTAATCAGCTTGCCAAGCTTTATCTGATTTCTAATAAGTTCCATGCACAACAACCATTAATATGCTTACATCAACCTATAAAAACAAACTTATCTTTTATACAACTATTAAGTTATGAAGTCCATCTTTTTCGGTTGATATCTCGATCTTTGCACTGATCCTTGGTTATTGAGGCTTTCCCTAGCATTACACCGGAACCAGGTTGTTACAACCCGTTTTGAAGTTCCTGTTGAGAAACTTCGGGAAGTTCCATTGCTGGAACTCTTCTTCTGTCTTTACTTATCCTCTTGGATCTTCTAAAGTTCCTTTGTCTCAGTTCCTACTTCAGCCACTGCTTACTGAACCTGCAAACATCACAACACTAGAAAATCCTTATTAAAAGGAAGTTTGCTCAATTCTTAACATCATCATCAAAACCTCATAAGGGTCAACATATGTTTTAGCATGATTTGAAGATCGGTTATGGCATCTGATAGTGCCTCATTTGTGAATGGTTTTATGCTGACCTGTTGGTAACATTGGCTGTGTAAACTAATCAGCTTACAACTGTTGGAGGATTTGGATTGTTGAGCATATATAAAAAGTTAAAATGGGAACCCAATTTTCTTCAACTCTCTGAATTGGTGGCATTATCATTTTGTTAATTTTGAATCTGCATAACCATAAGTTGTAGCTTTGGCTCCAGGCAGAAGAACTTGTTCTGTCACACCATGTTACATCAGTCAAGAAGAATAATCATTGTAATTAATGTTTTTTTTTGTTGGTGATGTTTATCATTAGGAATATGTGAAAACATAAACGATGAGAGAACACTGGGGCTACCTTGAAAAGAGTGAGAGGGAAACTATGGAATTATCTTTACTGGTGCTGGTTTGAAGAGAGAGTTAATATACTACTACCCTAGCCCAAAATTAAGTTTTTCTTTGTTATCTACTTCTCTTCAGCTTCCTTTGGGGGGGGGGGGGTGTGGGGGAAGGAATTTGGCCCCATTTGGTTTGATGTAAAATGTTTTCATGGAAAATGATTTTTTCATTTTTTACCCCATTTTCCTTTGTTTGGTTTGTGAAAGGGTGGAAAACAGTTTTCCCAATGGTGGAGAATTGCGTCCTTAATGATGGAAAACATTTTCCTTTACTAAACAAGGGAAGCCACATTTTCCTCCCTCCTTACTCCTTTTAACTTCCCTCTCATCCATCCTCTCATCAAAATTCAAGTTCTTTTGACTGGCACTATAATAAAGTGAACTACTATAGCTGCTACTGTCAATCATAAATTCATAACATGTAATCACTCACTTTTGGAGACGTTAATGCTCACTTAATTCCAAACTAAGAAATTAGAGAAAAAAAAAAAGAGAGAGAAAAGGGCACAAGTATAATTTTTACAAATCCAATGAACCAATCAAATTTTTTTTGATCAAACCTCTTGTATGAGTTTTGTTAACAGTGAGAGGTGAGAACTATCCTTTCTTGTCCTTGGTGAATTCACAGTTAAACTTTGTTGATAATGTATATGTAATTTTTTTGGTAAAGAAATAATGTATAAAGATTCAACTCCGATTCTAAAAGAAAGCTTTAATTTTGTATGAAGCTCATTGTACTGCTTTCCTATTTGATATCATTATTCATTACTCCTATTCTTCTAAGTATTGGAGGTCCACCTCTGATCATGATGGATGAGTGAGGGTTTGGAGCGGATTCATGCAGATTACTCCCTGTGACAATGGAGGGGATATTTTCTGTTGAACCTTAGTTTGATTTTGACATGGAATGGTTGTCTGCTGCTTTGCAGTGACTGAATATTAGTTTCCTATTTGTCTGAATAATTTTCATATGAAGTGCATGCTTATTCATGTTTTCCCAACTACAGTAGATTGTTGTAACATTTCTAGAAGAGAATTAAAGTGGGGGGGGGGGGGGGGGAATCCCTCTAGCGAAATGTTAAGCATTTGTGGTGCTCAAGTAATATCATCCCAATAATAAGATGATGATAGTTGCAAATATTAGATAGGAGTATTGATTATGGATGTTAATGTTATTGTCTCATTAATTTTGGCATATGCATTTCATGAATATGAATTCATATGCATATGCACTTCATGAATAGAGTTGTAGATTCTATCGAGTGTATTTTGATCTTCTCTTGTTTGATAGAAGATGCAAGCTTCTAACTAAGCTAAAACATAGTTAGTCATTGCCTTTTTGTCAACCTTCACATGTTGCATACCTGTATCATCAAGAAAATGAAATATATTGAGTGGCAATTTGTAGTACTAAGTTACAGAACCTGATTGATGTAAATTAGTATTCATCACGTAGTGTTCAAAAGAAAACAATCATGTAATTCCAAAGACGAATTACTACTTAGGATAAGATAACTTTCTGCGAAAAACTTATTTTGCTGACAGGTTGTTCATTATGGTATCATTATTATTAACTTGGTGACACTTATAATTGCAGCTTGTGAAAGAGTTCAGAAAAGGTCATGTATTTGATGGATGGTCTGAAGGTATATTAAAATTTCCACCGACTTACAAATATGAGATGAATTCTGACAATTATTATGGAGAAGATCTGAAAGTGGGGAGACGTAACCCAGCATGGTACGAAATTATATTATCTTTCACTAAATAAGTTGGTGCCTTGTACAATCTTTGCTGATTTTAGCTTATATTTTCAATTCCGCTTTACTTTCTTTTTTTGCGTCTTCCCCATTTTATGTAGCTTTTTTTTTTCCTTTCTTTCCAAATCTTCTCAGGTTCTTCTATTACCTTCCCAACCATCTTGAATGGTCATCTAATATTTTAATAAAGCTCATCCAGTCCCCCCCCCCCCTCCCCCACCATTATTTCTTTTTTCCTTCTATATTGCTTTGTTACATGTTATCTGTTAGTGTTTGCAAATGTAAGTATTCTAGTGATTTGTTCAATCAGTTATTCAACAAATCATGTCTTAATAAAATTTGGAAATATAAATTAGTTGAACTAATCTATACAAATTGTAAAATTACTGCTTCAAAAAAGTAAAAGAAGTACTTCCTCTGTTCTTTTTTACTTGACCTGTTTCTTTTATCACGCTTGCCAATGCAAAACTTTAACGATCAATAACTTAAATTCTCCATAAGTAAAAATTATAAAAGTTATATATAATGATATTACTTATTGAGAAGAATCCAAAAACATTATACATGAATATATTTTTCCTTACATATTATTTACAAAAGACGGTCAAAGGAGGGGTGGTGAATAGTGTAAAAGTCAAAGCGGGTCAAGTAATAAAAAACGGAGGAAGTACAATCTAATCTAGTATGGTGCTAGACTTTGTAGTCTGCACTCTGCAGGATGTATCTCAAGTAGACATATGTCAGTGTTTCTACTGTGATGTTTTGGTCATGGTAAAAATAATTGGTGTTTCAATTCAGACAAGACTGCTATAAATAAATCTTGCAGAAATTATTTTATAAAAGAGAAGATTGCGGTGAAGAAATATAGGGTAAAATATAACCAGTGAATATTTACAACACATTATGTCTGCACACTCATAATGAATGTGTACCCGAATTTCTGCCTAGGCTAATTTGTTACTTCCTATTTGTTACTAATTTGTTCCTAATTTGTTACTTCGTATTTTGTAGTATTTCATGATTTTTTTTTTTTAAAAAAAAAAAAAAAGGGTTGGGTAACCAATTCTCTCAATGAGTAATCATTCTAGGAAATGAGGAAGTTTTTTCTCTTCACTTTTCACATAAAATCAAGTACCCCTCTTCCTTCAGAGTAATTTTGAGGAGGAACTTTTCACGTAATTGTGCGTGATTTGTTCTTCAGAAGATCAACGAAAAATATTTTCCATCAAGCATAATAGAGCCTAAATGTATCATTTTTTCTTAATGAAGTCATCAGTAGCATGTAGATTGTGCTACATATTGATTCTATGAACGTGTTACTATTTTCTGCACCTTTACTGTTAAACATGCCTGCCTTAGGCAGGCTCTTAGCAGTAAGTTCTAAATGCCAACAGTGATATATCCTATATTGCCTTGCAACATCACTAGTATTGTCCAAGAAAGATACCTTAGCTTGGAAGTACTGTATTGACTTGTATGCTTTTCAGGTGTGATCGTGTCCTCTCATTCGGAAAAGGAATAAAGCAGCTCGATTATAGAAGATGTGAACTTATTTTTTCTGATCATCGACCTGTCACTGCAATATATGATATTGAGGTGGAGGTGTTCTCTCCTAGAAAGTTACAGCTGGCCCTTACATTTACTAATGCAGAAGTGGAAAATGAAGATATTGTGTTTGACCACAGAATGAATGCGGCATTGAGCCACTTGAGACCGAAAGAGGCAAGTAACAAATCTTTGTTTCTAATGTAGTGATCTTCCTTGGATATGTAGTGGCCTGGTAGGTTGTCTGTGTGATTATCAGCTCTTTATTTTTATTGTGTGTTTCAAGTAGAGAAATATTCATAGCGTAGAGTTATCGCTGATTAACAACACAACATTCATTAAGTACCTATTTACCAAATGTTAGGTCTGTTGTGGAGGCAGCCGTGCCTTAATATCAGGAGGAATAAAACTACTCTAATCTGTTGTATATTCTGTAACACTGGAAAATAGAAAGAAAATGCTGCATCCTCTTGAGTGTCGGAAGATGATCAAGAGTGTGTTTTACATGTGACATTGTATTGTCCACCACTCTTCACTTGCCCCTTTTCTCTTTATTAGATGCTCAAAGTGCATGAGAAAATTCGATGTATAGACACGGTGATATAGTACTTTAGTAGTATTTTTTTTTTTTTTCCTTAGTTTTTTTTGGACATAGGCTAAGGCAAATCAATTGATACAAATTATTAGAAAAGGAAATTGTAGTACAGCAACATCCTTTCACAACATCATAACCCCCTCCCCCCGTTCAACTTGTGCTCGATCCACATTTAGGAGATTAGGACAGTGTGCTATTGAAGTAGTTTGGCTAGGTTATTTCCGTGATTGCACACATATATGGATGTCTCTTTTGTGCTTCCTTGCAACATATGAACTATATTGCACGAGTCCATGGAAGAAGTAGTATGTAATATCATAAAATTGAGACCCTTAATTTTTATATACAGTATAAATCAACATAATAATATTTCAGATTATTAATGTTTATAATTGTTTCGATCTATTGCAGCAGGACATGCCTGGTTTGGCTCGTTGACTTGGTGGGCCGCGTTTGAACTGGATCCAGTGACTCGGTCTATCTCGTGTGTACCATTCGAGTGTTCAGCATTCCTCGATGGTATAGTACATTGCAGGTCGTTTCCTCCATCGATCTGTGATACCTGTACAGGTTTTGACAAATAGGCAAAAGCTTGAATTTGAGAGTATCATCATTCATTAGACATTGATATAATTGTACATTGATGAAACAACCATATTATGTGTAAATTTTTGTCTAAATCTAGGATTCCATATATTGTAATCATAGTTCACACTATCATTATGCGGCTCTAGTTTTGTATGTTCCTTAACAGCTCAGAGTTCAGATGAAATTTGCTCTTGCAGTTGGATGAATTATGTAACTTGTATGCCTATGATGTTCTATGAATAAGCAATAAATGCTATCTTCAACTCTTCGTTGTCCCCAAAGGTGAATCATATATCACTTTTGTTGTCAAACTGTATTAACTCGAGTTACCGGCTTTTCATTTATAATCAGGGCAATGATATGTGCATCTCTTACCCACAAATAAGCATTTATTCCCTCGGTTCCTTGTTATTTGTTGTGTATACTGTTTTGGGTAATTTCCATTCAGTACACAAGGAATTTGTTCTATTCATATTATAAATTTGACAGGTATCTTCAACAAAAGTTATTAAGCCAACAATGTTCTTACTTTACTTTCAGAAAATTATACTCAAGTCATTGTTGTATTCATTTGAAAATAAAATTAATAAACCTTCCAATAAGCAATCAGTGTTTGATTTTTATTTTAATGTAAAAAATATACTGGAGAGACACAATGAGGAAAAATATAAGGGAAATAGCATTTTTAATTATCAAAAAGTTATTGAATACAACCAAACGTAACAAATAAAAGGAACAAAGGGAGTAACATTTTCTCATTATAATTCAATATCTTTACTCCATTATTATGGTTTTAATATTTGTTAGTCTATAAACCTACACAGACCAAGCGTACAGAGAGCCAATTATGAAAAAGAGAGATGAAGGTGCATTCTCGCACGCATAATTATTTGAATTATGATGGAATTCCGGACAAAGAGCGAAGGTCCTCAACGATTGAATCAATAATAGAATGAGATCCAGCAGTAGCTGCAAATGGCAAGTGCTTAGGTGCTGCAGCTCTGTCAAAGTAGAATCCACCAGGGACCAATTTCTCTTTGGGTTGTAAAGCCAACCATATTATGGTATCAGCACCTTCTTCCCATGTTCGAAGTTTCCCAGAAAATCTAGCAATTATCAGTAAATATTACCAAGTCATTTAATCAGATGTCAAACAACTAAAATTTTCTGATGATCCACATTTATCAGGATAAGCCTTGTATAAAACATTAATGGTCTATTAAACTGGACTTTAGTTTCCCAAACATATCATTATTTTATCATAACTCATGATATATTTTAATAGGCCAACTAATCTAAAGATAAATGTGTTACCAAGGTAATCAAAATACAGCAAACTTCAGCTCTTACCTTTCTGAAAAACTTGGCAAACTTTTTGCAACTCCAGGTGTCTCGGCCCAACCTGGATGCATTGCATAGAATGCAATGTTCTTATCCTTGTACTTTTCAGCCCACTTTTCTGTTAAAGCAACCTGAGACAAACACATGGTGCACATACTGATTTAAAAATATAGCCTGTTCAAAACAAAAATGAAGAGATCTGTACGCATGAATGTATATTGTCTTAGTTGAAGGACAGCATTTTAGAGAATCTAAGAATATGTATACGATACCCTACACCACAAAGTTTTGGTATTTGACAGAAATTACTTTGATCAGTTCACTACGGTGAGGATGATTATACAAATGGTGAAATCAGAAAATAGATAAAATGTGAGCATGAATACTTTTACTGACCTGAACACGCTTGTTTCGAGCATACTGCATCACCCCATCAAATTTTCCCTCGCTGAACTTCATTAGAAAGAAACAGTCACAAATTACACCTGCCTCTTATCTATACAAATGAAGCTAATCTTTTACTCAAAGATAAGTCACCTGCAAATCTTTTGTCAAAGGAGAAGTGTACATCCCACCAGAAGAAACTGTAATTACTCGTGCATCAGGGGCAGCCTTCTCTAATAGAGGCAACATCAACTCTGTCATGGCATAAGTTCCCAATACGTTCACAGCAAAATTTAGCTCAAAGCTGAAAGGATACCAATTGAAAAAGCTCTATTAGCAATGCAACTAAAAATGAATGTTGTAGCATTTCTCTTAACCAAAAGAAGCATAATTTTTACCCTTCAGAAGTTGTGATACGATTATTTTCAAGAATGCCAGCATTGTTGACCTGTAGCAGTTAAGCAAATTAGACAAGTAGCATTTAGAGTCATATGAAGAAAGTGAAAAGGTTATAGTGCAATAAAACCCAAATGGTGTAAGATCTTAAAAACTAAAAGAGATCCTAGTTCACATGAAATTGAGCTTACCAAAACGTGAAGAGGGGTACCCTTTGAAGCAAATTTTGCACTGACCGACTTTATTTCACTCAAAGAAGATAGATCACATATCTACGCATGTAATTTAGAAGACAATTGCAATCAGCAGATTTTGAGCAACAACTATTGTCTTTTAAACAGTTAATAATCAAGAGATCCCAAGGAGTTCATGGAAATAACAGAAAATATATCTGAAACCAGATCAATAATTGACCCTACAGTCTCTAAATAACACTTTTATAGAGAGTGACCTACACCTCCAAGTAAACATTCTGGTTTCCGGTTTCAGTTTGGATTTTAGAAAGAGCAGCTTCTCCTCTCTCTTTACTACGGCACAGCAAGTAGACAGATGCTCCTCTGTTGACAATTATCGATATAACATGACCAAAAGACCTCTTAGTTTCCATATAATCAAGAACTCGGCTTTCTGGATTAATTATTGAGATAAGCACAAAGTTCTGAAAGCATAGGGAATACCTTGAAGCAAGGTCCTGAGCAGTTGCAAACCCAATGCCACTATTTGCTCCAGTAACAATACAGTTCTTTCCATCCAATCTCACCTTCATATCTTCGGCTTTAAAGTTTTTAGAATGTTCCCTAAATGATAAACAAGTATTTTAGAACTTTAAGAAGAACCAAATCACTAGGATGATCATAAGAATATACAGAGGTTTTTCAGTGCGGCAAGCCACATGGTGCGGCACGGTTACTTGTATTTTAGGGTTACTTGTATGGGTTACTTGTATGGTGTTACTTGTATTATGAGGTTACTTTTATTGGATACTTGTATCGTGGGGTTACTTGTATGTGTTACTTGTATTCTGAGTAACTCCAGACCAAAATCTCATACCAAACCAATAACACCCTACAAGTAACCCTTGATCAAAACCAATAACAGCCATACAAATAACCCTAAAATACAAGTAACACCTGACAAAACCAGTAACACCCTACAAGTAACCCCGACCAAAACCAGTAACACCCATACAAGTAACCCCAGAATACAAGTAACACCTACAAGTAACCCCTGACAAAACCAGTAACACCCTATAAGTAACCCCGACCAAAACCAGTAACACCCATACAAGTAACCCCGGAATACAAGTAACACCTACAAGTAACCCCTGACAAAACCAGTAACACCCTATAAGTAATCCCGACCAAAACCAGTAACACTCATACAAGTAACCTCAGAATACAAGTAATACCTACAAGTAACCCCTGACAAAACCATTAACACCCTACAAGCAACCCTTGCCACACCATGTGGCCAGCCACATACAAAAATTTGAAAGAATAATATTATCAAGTTTAGAACATAAAGTATGAAATTTCTAAAAGTAAAAATTGATTATACAACATAAAATTTCTTTTCTTTTCATATAAGAGGAAGGAAGAACAGGAATTGAGTAAATAAGCTCAGCTATACACAGATGAAGTTCAAAAGTTCAAGAGAAACTCTAACTGCAGATAAACAATCAGATATTCAATTAGCTAAACATTAGATGAGAGTTATTTTTCAGAGTTCACACTTCACTCATCAATGCAGGCCTTTATATTAATTAACATTCTCTGATGGTAGCTAATGAAACAAATCAAAAATTGACTTGACTTTTATAGCTTAGATGGGTAATATCTCTCTACTGTGTGATCAATTTCGGTTATTATCATCTTATGTATTTCATGCTTGTAAGTTGTATTGATGATAATACTGCATTTGGGGACAGTGAGAGGTCTAATGAAACAACTTACAAGCATGAAATACATCAAATACATTCTGAAATTGATACAAATACTACTGCATTTGGGGATAGTGAGAGGTCTAATGAATCGATCAGTTAAAAAAAAAAAAAAGAATAACCGGAAAACCCTGTATATCGAAGTATCAAACCTTAGAATGATGATGCAAGTACACTCCCACTATCAGCCCAGGACATCCCAAAGATTAAGTGCAAATACTTCCCCCTCGTAAAATTATAATCATCTCCCTCATGCATGTATCCTTTCTTGTCCATTGCAAGTTCTTAACTACACAGCTTTTGATCGAGTATATTGGACAACAGTGAAGAACCCTCAGACACTCCCATGGATTCTTACGCCTGTCATCCCACCTTACTTCATTTTATCATTGGTTTCACGGTATAAAACAAGATTAGTGACAAAAAAATTAAATTGATCCCACAAGACTAAATAAATCATCTAGGAAGCATGGAAACATTTGGGACATGAAGATTTCCCGTTTACGAAAACCCATTGCTTTCGTGCTAATGCAGCCTAGAAATGGGCAAAGGTTGAGGTTTCCTGTTTTTTAAAACATTAATGTTACTGAAGCTCAAGTCGTTTCCATGCTACACAGTAAACATTAGGTCCGCAGTCCGCACCAGATTATAGCCAACAAATTGGTGACCAATTGGTTGAACATAGGAAGTGTCATTTCTTAGAAATTCATAGGAATTTTTTTTTTAAGGTAGAAATTCTTAGGAATTTCAATTTGTATAGTTGATCATGATACGTCCGATTTCCCAAGGGAAGTTGCTTACCTAGGAACAGAAGTTTTACTTACCTATGGTACCTTGGTAAACAACTTCCTCCATTTTGTGGGAAGAAAAAAATTCCTATGAATATGTGAAATTAACAATTTCTCATGCTTACACTTCCTAGGGGAACTCCCACTTCCCATATTGCTATGTCAACCACATAAACAACTAAACAAGCATATAGGAAAAAAAAAAAAGAAGCTTCAGCACCACTTACTGTTCAATGACAAGAAAATTCAATATGTATTTTTAATAAAATGATTGTTCATCTACATGATAAAGTAAATTACAAGCTTAGGCTAGACAACCAACGATTATATAGCTAAAAACCAACAACATTTCAAAATTAAACATCCCCACTTTACTATCAACCACATAACAAAATAACCAAAAGCTTCTATCAAAATCAAAATAAAAATAAATTATTGTAGCTTAGGTAGCTAGGTCATAAATTATCAGTCACATTTTCCTATGTAAGAACTTAAGCTCTCAAACCCATGTACTACTTCCGTTTTATATAATTTGCAACAATTAGATATTTTTCCTCTTTATTTGATGTCAAATCGTTGCAAATAACATAAAATAGAGGTAGCATTTCAGAATATAGCATAATTTAACAAAAAGAACCTCTCCTAGTCTACCCATCCATAACTTAATAACGGCATGTTAGAAAATCCAATCATAAACCATAAAATACGACGAAAGATTATGACTTACATACAGTATAGCAGATCACAGTAAAAACACAATTTCTACCAATGTATGACAACTAATTCAATGCAACAATATCAGGGAAACACACTGACAAATGGAGGTCAACATTTAAATTATTACTTACATGAAACCAGCCTTGGTGAAGTTTAGGTATCCATACATCCCAAAAGCTGCTGATCTCCAAGCCTTCATTTCCCAAAAAAAAAAAAAAAAAAAAAAAAAAAAAAAAAAAAAAAATTAAATCAGTTGATTAATTAAAATTTGAACAATTAAAGCCAAATAGGAAAATAATTGCACATTTAAAAAGAAATTACCTTGAGGAGAAACATGATGCAATGCGTAAGAGAAATATGAATATGAATTTGTATCATACTCTTTTACATTACTTCTATTTACATCAAATTGTATACATTCATTAACTCATCAATCAATAAAAATGTACGAATTTATAAGGGGCTTGAGAAAATGCCACGTAACAAGTATTGCCACCATTATCCTATTTTGGGTTACCAAGCATATGGGCCAGTCAGGCCCGTTACTGAACACTTAAGAATTTTTGGAGCAGCCCATCATTGTTAACAAGTAGTTTTGATTATACTAAGGCCTATTTTTTTATTAGGTAATAATAAGATGATAAAGGCATACGCATAGTGCACTTCAAGCATCCAATGAATACGGAGCATAAAATCAAAGAACATAAAAAAAAAAAGTAAGGGTCTGTTTATATTTACTGAATTGAGCTGAACTAATTGGAGCTGAATTAACTGAATTGAATTGAAATGAATATTTTACGAGAGTAGGAAATTAGGAGCTGAACTGAACTACTGAACTAATTTGAACTGAACTACTGAACTAATTGGAGCTGAACTGAACTGAAATTAAGTTGAAGTGAATAGACCCTAAATGAAAAGAACAAACTCTAATTAATATACCATCGTCTTAGTTATAACTCTTATGTTAATTGGAAATATTCATGTTATTTGGTATATAGTATTAGGCTTGATATTCAACACATGCATAGTGAGCACTGTATATACGCCTCCACCATCATATTTGCAAATAATGTCAATTCTCTTAACTTGAATTTTATCAAATAAAAAATTATTTTAATAAATTATAATCATTTTCACAGTGTCTAATTTTACTTCATAAATTATTTTTATTTTAAATTTAAACTTATCTAAGTCCCAAAAACATGAATAACCCTTATTTTTCTTGAACTTTATATCTTTTCCTAGACTAGATTAGAACTTAGATCTTATTGTGCACACCTTATTTCCATTTTCAAAATTGTCTAGAGAATAATAAGTAATGATAAAGGACAAGACATACATTTGGTTTATCCATTTCAAAAATTAACATTAAGAAGAAAAACATCATGTATAAGGTTTACTTTTTAATGTTAGATTTTATTTGAGTTTAATATTACAATGTTGTTATGTTAGAGACATTCACAGAAAATTGACAAAGACATAAAATTAAATATAAAAGACGAATTGTATGATGGTATATAATATTTTCAACATATTATATAGCAGTCGTCAAAATATAAGTTATTAAAAAAATATTAATGGATAGAGAGAAATTAATTGGACTACCTTAAACACACACTCTACTCTCTCTATCCTCTTCTTCTCGTCTTATCTTGATTTCTTTATTGACCATCACTACTTGTTACATGATAAGTCAAAAAGATGTCCAACATTAAAGCATGAGTTTGGACTTGAGATACTCTTAGCTGTAGACTTATCACCAATTCACCAGTCAAGTTTGGTTTGCTCATTAAATTCATACCACTTTTCAAACTTAGTAGCAAGCTGTGAGCATGACACAAACATCAAGTCAAAGCACATTCTATTAAAATAAATTATCTAAAAAGAGCCTAAGAGAAATACAGTACTCAAACTTTTATGGAGTACGTAATTCTATTATCAATAAAGAACATACACACCATTCAATTGTCATATCTTACACTTATTTTAGTTATTATGTCGGATAACAATACACGTAAAACACACTTAAATGTGTTACACAATCCAAAAATAGTGTTTAATATATATATTTTTAGACACTCGGATACCAGACTTGTCCTACTTTGACACAATTATCTTTACAATAATTATACACGCCACAACAATGATGTTTCCTATATTATTTTCACATTATAAATTAAAGTCAAAATTAAAATGATATTTAAAAATCATTTTTATTTTATAATCTAATTATTAAATTGTTAATTTCTTTCCTATAATATATTTTATAATTTGTACTTTGATATATCAATGCCCCTCAATTTTTGACCAACATCTTACAATATCCGTTTTGTGTTCGTGTGTGTAAATTACACACTATTCTCTTTACCAAATATTTGCATATACATAATACTAATTTTAATTGATTTAGATATTTTTTATAACGGAATTAATTTAGACATGTTAATAATGCACTGGACTAATAAAATCAAGCATTATAAATATAAGATAAGAAAAGATTTTATAAGATTTAAAATGTAATGCTCCAATTCCATAATTAAATCAAATTAGATAAGATATAATTAATAAATTCAAATAATTTAAATATTTATAAGTGCAGCCGTGCAGGTGATGAGAATTGATCAGAATTGATTGTCAGCGAGAAGGAAGCTTTAACCACTTGAGCTAAGCATCACTCTCGATCTCTCAAATAACTTAACTTAAAAACAAATTAAATACGGAGTATTTAATTCAATCAGAGTCAAAGTTTTAATCCCATAAGTGAAGCATTTAATTATTTTTAAAAACAATTCTTTATAAGGTAATGTCTAAACCTATATTTAATTTGTTAACTAACTCAACTTAAAAACAAATTAAACATAGATTTACACATTACCTTATAATGTTAGTTTCATATATTATTTTGGGTGTTTCAAAAAAATCTACCCCATATTGAATATGTTTCATTTTTAACTTTTTTTTTTGAATTAATTGGTTGTGGGTTGATGACATGACTCTAAGGGCCTGTTCCGATTTAAACAATTGAATTGAATTGAGCTGCACTGAACTGATTAGAGCTGCACTGAACTGAATTGTTTTGACTATGGATTAATAATTATTAACAATGGATTAGTAATGATATTAATCCACTAATAATTATGAAAAATAAAATGAAGTTCAAAATTAATCCACTAATAGTTTTTTTTTGTTTGTTTAATTTTTTTATTTTCATGTTAATAAATGCCTTGAAATTAATCTAGTGTAATAGTTTGTATGATAAGAAAATGAAACAAAACAAACAAAAAAACGAATAAAATATCCAAAAAAAAAAGACAAAAAAGGAAACAAAGACCCAAAAGTTCAAAATTACGCACTTCCATTCCAAACTAGAAAAAATAAACACATCGCACTTCCATCTTTTTCTTCAATTCTCACTTCGCTATTACACATCGCACTGCATGCCCTTCATCTCCGTTCTCTGACCACCCTAAACCCAAAAAAACTCCTTCATCTTCGGCTATTATATGCGGGTAACTTTTTATATATACTAAAAACTATGAAGTTAACTTTAATTATTATTAGCAATATCATTAGACGTAATGATGAATTTAAAAATATCGGCTCAAAGGCATGCATAAACTAAATATCATTAACAATATCATTTGCTAATCACATAAAACAAATAAATTAGCAAAAAAAACTGAACTAAACTGAACTGAACTAAAATTAAACTGAACAAAACATGCCCTAAATAAGGATTTCTCTACCTTGAATTATGCAATTATGATTTATGCTTTTCAAAAAAATAAAAATAAAAAATAAATAAATAAGGTAAATTAATAATGAATTATTTTATACTTTAATGTTAGATTTTAAATATTCTTTTTCTTATTTTATGTGATTGATTACATATGTGGCTAAGGCCCCGTTCACTTCACCTTATTTTTGCTGAACTGAAATTATTTTTACCGAATTGAAATTATTTTTGCTGAACTTGAATTATTTTTACGGAACTAAAATTAATTTTACTGAATTGAAATTATTTTTGCTGAACTAAAATTAGTTTACTGTTCTCTGTTGTACTTCTTTATAATTACTGATTTTTACTGAACTGAAATTATTTTTATTGAATTGAAATTATTTTTACCGAACTAAAATTAATATTATTGAATATTATTTTTTTAAGGTGAAGAGAACCGGGCATAATTTTATAAAACAGAAGAAGTATTTTTCTTTAAAAAAAATTAAAATAATACTAGTATTAAAAGCTTAACGGATAAGGAAAAACTAGAAAAGGTAGACAGAACCATTTGGTAATTCGTTAACCGACACCCTCACTGCTCTCTACCGTCATAACCGCCAACTGGGAGACAACCTACACGTGTCAATCACCCACTTGCACTATTCATTTCCATCTTTTAATTAATTTTATTATTTTCTATTTTTTTCTCTCATGTTAAGCCGAGCAGGACCTTTTCAGCTCATTTTCTCTCTCCTAGTCAGATATTAAATCCTATCAAATCCATCCACGTGTTCAAATTCATTCGCCCCCATCTTTCACGCGTTTTAAACACGCGTGCCCCAAATTTTCAATAATAAAAAAATGAAAAAAAAAATCTAAATTGGTTGATTTTCAAGAATAAATAGTCCAACTTCCCGCAATTGTTTCCTCTGTTATTGCAAGTTTGCAACTATCTAACCTTCATTTTCTCTCTCCTCTCATTTTTCTTCTTATTGGTAAGTGAAAGTTTCTTCAATTTTCAGGGAATTTTTTTAAAAATTCTGGGTTTTTCTGTTTTGATTAATGGGTTCAATAAAAACCGGCTAAAATTGTCAAGAATCCTTAATTTTGTTTGTAACGTTTACACGTGAATTCATTTGTTTTAGCGTATAAAGGGCGATGATGTAGACGGGATTTCAATCCCGAGAAGTTTATAAGATAGAAGAAAGAAAAGATCTGAATGTTTGTTCTCCAACCAAAAGATTTCTCACTTTCTGGGGTTCTTATGATTTTTGGAAAACTTTTTAATTTTCATTTGATTTGATTAGATTATTCAATTGCCAACTTGAGAAAGAGATGGATGGATAGAAGTATAGAACATTAAAGCAACGGTTATAATTGAAAGAAAGATTTTGATTCTTTACTTTGTATTTTATTTTGGTTCAGTCAACCAATTCATCTTCCACTTTGATTGATGCAAAATTGCTTGTATTTGATGATTTTGATTAGTACAAGAATCAAATTTTTTGTTCTGATTTCTTACTTTATTATAATGATTCTTTTAAAGGCTTGCATTTTAAGTTAATTGGTCACTATTCTATGTACTTTCAGTTTTAGTAAAATATCACAGCATATTGCAAAAAGTTGATGATAATAATATCGTCCTTTCGTGTTAGAGATTGTCAGCTTTAGATTCCGTCGAATTACTTGTACAATTAGACTGAAAATAAGTCTTTGTTATACCCAC